GTTCATTTGTTTCGCCTTATTCTGCGATTCATTCAGTTCTAATTCGAGAGCCGCGATCCTTTCCTGAACAATGAAGAACTGCAATGCCAATATGATATGAAAATGAAGTTCATCAGATGATTACTTATCAGAGATGAATTAGTTGCTAGATACATAGGCTAGAGTGCACTTCAGTATTTCAAATGCAACGAAAAGCAGAAACGAACTCGTATTTGCTGTTCATGCTGTGATGGTACCATTCTGGTCAGCATTGACGATTGTTCATCGTCATCACTATCAATATCGTCATCTGTTCGATGATCTATTTTTCGAATTCGATCAGCCTCCAACGATTGCTTGATCAATTGTGCCACTTCGCTATCTTCTAAATTTGTTTCACGTCCTATTGTGAAGACAACCTGAATCAAAATTTGATTAAGTCATCTCATATTTGCATCAATTAAGGAATAAACTGAATTTTATATTATTTCTTGCGAAATCGTAAGCAATCAACCAAGTTGCACACCATGAAATTCCACTTTTGAAGTGCTATTTCCTTTTCTAAAGTGAGTCTTTGGATAATGTAATTCTACTTTATGATTCAAATGTTCTTTTTTTTCTAAACTGTCATCCTTCATGGAATTAATAGTAAAGCTAGCATAGAGGCTTCTTTACGTCTCAATGTCCCTATGCCAGCTTCACTTTTCAGAAAATAGATTTTAACAAATGGTTCAAAACAAAACTGTCATTTTTCATCACGTTACATGATCATAAATCACGAGTTAATATACATTGAAACAGACGGATAATTTATCAGCATTCAGTGAGTGTGTTGGATAAACGTATTTTTAAACGTTTGATTGTTTGGTTTGAGATGAACAGTAAATTGATAATCAAGACTGATTAAGAAGACATGAAATATTCAAAGTTAGACTGCATCAAAACAACTAAAACTAGATAATCAGCTCACCTTGTTGGAGGTGGCTCGTAGTGTTTCAGCAGCAAATATCTGAGTAACGCCAACAAGACTGATCCCGTTAACACTAACAATCTGATCACACACTCGTATCCGTGCATCCCGATGAACCGCTCCACCCGGTGTAATACTCTTCACAAAAATACCTAATTTTTCAAGGCCAGAATCTGCACCAACACCCATACCAATTATCGATACCTTGAAATAAGATAATACATATTTGTTTTTATTAGGATATATATCATTATTCTAATTCATAATTACTTCAAAATAGTTTTTTTTAGAATTTCTTACAAAAATCATCAGCTGCTCAGGAAGAACAGTTTGAATAATTAAATTACTCACTCCAAGGCCCTCAGCACCTTTTTCTAGTTCCACATCAAAAATCTCCATTTTATCCAAGCGCCTTTCAAGTTCATATTCAGCACATGAAGCTACTGGATCGATATCATCATTGCGTCGATCGTAATCAGCGACGCTATGTGTTGTGAATACCTGACATTGAACACCCTTCGATGCGAAATGAAACTCGTTTTAAATGATCATTAAAAAACGTAAATCATTTCTACACTTGAAATGAAATCATTTCATAAATGGTTTAACAATTCTTCATTTCCAAAATAACACTGCACAAACATCATTCGTTAAAACAATTACATGAGACATTTCTTAACATACATTGGCATTGAATTGAACAGAATAACACTGATTACCTTAATAGGAGCCGTACTGAACGATACTTTACGACCGCTCACTTCGCCATCTGGTGATAAACCCCTAAGCATTTCGATCGTCTCGGTGGATTGCTCCTGATCTGCGATCGTCGAGCATCCATTATCAACGCAGACGACATCTGCATCAGAAGCAGCATCTTGACTGAATCGTTCATCATCATGCCTCCGACTCTTCACCAGTGCGTACGTTATGTGCCTTACTGATGATGCTTCTTGCTGCTACAATGACCAAAATACATTTTGAATAAACATTAAAGGTTTATTGAATCTTCACAGACAATCAGCATGACCATACAGTTTTAATTAACCAATCAGAACAAGAGCATACATCCTGCTCAGATCCATTAGAACGAAGGCATTCTTTGAGAGAGCTTTTAATCAAAAAAAAACCCCAATCTCATATCGGAAAAGTAGCGCATAGAAGCATTGATAAGATCACCGGAGAACAATTCACTTCAACAATTTTTCCAGGACTCCATAAGCAATGACTGAAAACAATACGGAGATAGGCACCATTCACTCTGGAAGATCAGCTCGACGTTTCTATTTTTTTTTTTTGTTGCTCTCTAAGAAGAGGCCTCTATTCTAGGTGAGAAGAGTTTATATTTTTGCGATACCTTATGACCGCCGTTGCACGATTCGAGAAGAAGGCTCGAAAGAATAACTTTATAACTAAATTCAGATGAAGATGAGGCTACGATTCGAGAAGAACGATCTTTAGTGAGTTTCTGTTCAAGAGGGAGAGAGGGCATATATGCCATGCCATATGTGTGTTTACGGCATTTGTAAATGTGTGTTTGATTGGGAATCTTCAATCGGACTCGAATATTTCAGTTGAAAAGTTACACTCGAGAGTGGCCAAATTAATAAAGAGAATATGGCATATTTAACTGTGAGAGAGTATGATAAACCACAGCATGCGAATGGATATACATTAAGATATACACTGATGTAAACAAAGAATGAGCAGAGGCGAGTGAAATTGTTAACAAGGATGAAGGATCTCTCACAGAGTGTTAGTTTAAAGAGTGAAAAATATAAACAATAGCATACGGTTGAGAATGAATGAATAGATTTGGTAATTGGATAAACTAAAAAGTTTGACAGTCAACGATGAGTGAAACCCTCATGAAGGCAAAAGCTAATCGAATTGCTTTGATGAATGCGCAACATAAAGGAAAACGATTTATGTAAGGGACGAAATCGAATGAAATGAGTAAGTTCTGAAAGAATAAAATCTAATGCGATGCAACGATGCCAAAAGAGATCGAGTGAAGAATTATCACAGGATGATAAGTGCAATTTCAAGATGCAGCTTTGAGTAAAAGAAAGTAAAAGAGTACAAACCGAATGAGGATCGTTTTGATTAACCATTGCGATGCCATCAACACCATAGCGACGCTTATAGAACGATGGATCTCGCCAATAGGGTTCATATAATTTAGTGGGTTTAGAAATACTTGTTGAATTAATGAGTATTTTATCGTTGATTAATTCACAATTAAGTGCTTCATCAACCTTTGAATATGCTTCGTTGATACTTGTCAATTGTGAAGAATGATCCTGTGAAATACGATCCAAATCTGATACCAGATCCGAGAAGTTTCTGGCTACCTTAAATTTATCATTATTGAACAACAAGGTGGTCTTTTTACTAAGGTGAATCAAGTTTGCGGTATTTAACCGTCCTTCAGTGAGGGTGTGGAAGGGAGAATTTTACTCTGCTTGAAGAAGTTCGTTCAAGAACCCTGAAGCCTGCTTTCATAGCTTTTCCTCAAATTTTTAATCTCATTAAAAAAACAAGCTTTGGCTAACTTCCTATTGTTAAGGCAGGTCCTGTTAAGATATAGATTGAAAAGCAAATTCTTGAGTGTTCATTTGATAAGAATTTCGAATTCACTTGTTTCCGGTTTCGTTCTTTTCTTCCGGTCTGGAGAACCTGTTGGGGTATCGTTCTACTTCCTATCTGACACTTTCTCTCAATCAAACGCAGTAGTAAGACCAACGAAACGTTATGTTTCAAACTCTTCTTCTTTTGCTACTTTGAACTCATTCTGTTAGCGTCAGCTGTCACTTTTGTTCTCCAAGACCTCAGCTGTTATCTTCCTGATGAACCCCATCCGCACTGTTCAAGTTTTAAAACAGTACCCTATAGGCAAACGAACACTTAAAAAATTGTTGACAACTGTGAAATTCATAAAATTTTATAGCTGTTAACAAAAAGGAGTTGCGTAGGTTTTAATCAGTGGGAAACAGGATGAGGAGTCAGTCACATGGGAATATTTGAGTGTGGTCGTTGGTCACATGAGACGCTTTACAGAACTGTAGATGCTTCTTTTCCTAACTGAGTGGATGGTAATAGAGAAACATCACTGCCTTTCAGCGGACAATACTCATCAGCCGAAGGGGTTCCAATATGCTAATCTTAAAAGCAGCTTTGAGCGACCATGAATTCATCTCAAGCTTACTATCGTTTGAAGTGGAGTCACTTGCAAACTTCAAACAAGGATTTCTTCCTTTCCGACTCTCCTAATCATCAATCAACTAATCTTTGTTTTGTCCAATAATAAGCAACAGTAGAAGAGTTAAGCTAAAGTGAATGCGAAATTTTCACCTTTGATGGTACGATGAATGTGTAAATAACAGACGAATCCTATACACAATGAATGCCTGCAGTAGATTTCAGAACAAAACGCGTAATGATCAAAAAATGTCTTGGAAATGAGTCCCACTTAGATGAAACAAAAATTTTGAACGCATTTTTACAAAGACCTTAAGATGAACGGAGTGAAGACGATCTCAGAAGACAGTAATGAGCACTGAGAATTAACTGCAGAATATCACTTCAAAACTCATAGAATAATTTTTGACTTTGCGAAATGTAATATAACCATAGCTTCTATCGATTTTCTTACGTCAAAATCAGTTTCAAATGACGAATTGGTTTGTCGCGTTTTAAGCAAATGTAAAGAAGTGGTATTTAAAAGTGATAAGTGAATGATCATTAACATCTGAAGCCATCAAAAGGAAATTCAAATCAGAAAACATTAGTTACTTATCACAAATACGAAAATGCGTTGTCCAAAAAGTGGATTACTAAACGAGTGCACGAATATTATGTTAACAATTTTGAAACATGTATTATCCGAGTGAAACATGGCGATACTGAATGAATGTAATGAAAATGAACAAGAACCTGTGAAAGCGGTGATGAAGGGCATTGTAAGAGTGGCTTCGGAGGTAGTGGTGGTGGTGGAGGTCGCTGAGGTCGTGGTGAATAAAACGAAGGTAGCTGCTCAGTGGAACGCTCAAGCTGCTCGAAAAGAGCTTTATTATGCGAGAATCGAGATCGTGAATCAGCACACAGATCTGCTGATGCAGTGGTACTCATTTGCTTGCTATTATTATATAAGAACACTTGAACGTTCCTTATCCACAATCGCACTCAGATTTGTTTCGTATCGTCTAGATGAATGTTGTGAATGCAGCAGTCATCTAGTACGAAGGAATGCACTGACCACAGTGAACTGATTCGATTCGATTCGTTTCGGACTGAATGCTGCGATCAGATGAAGACGACTCCTATGGGTGCGACCTGATGACCAATTTTAGAACGTTAATGTCAAAGATGAATGTGGTGAATAGAGATATATTAGAACGAGATGAGATGGGATGAAATGCGACGGGACGAACGAATGTAATTAATGAAAGGTAAATTGATGAAACTGATCGAATTAACTAACTCACTAAAGCAATAGTTGTTGTTGACTGCTGAATGATATTACTGAACTGTTACAAAATCGTATAATTTACTAAACGGTATTGTTGCATGAATATTCGATAAATAATCAATGTTGCATTCACAATCGTCGTATATACAACACATCACATCAGCAACCCAATCAAATCACCTATAAACATCGTTCAGTGCGTACCTTCCACCTCTATCAATGCATTATTTCTCCGATATTTCTCATGCATCATACGAATATCCTCACATCATATAGTTACTAAGATTATATTTAAGATGATAAATACGTATTATTATGTATGTTATTCATAACGCATCTATATAAATATTCTCAGAATTCGCGTAATCACAATTTATGTTGTAACAAAACTAACGATCAACAAACACGATCGTTGATCTAATGCACAATAATATAATATCCGTTTGTTATAGTTCCATCATCATCAAATGATAATCTTTTGCATTTTTACAACACTTTTGGAAACGAAGATGCGGATTCATATATGGATAATATTGCTTTTAACATAGCCGCACTCCTCGAGCCGTATGACCGATCGGAATTCCCTTTCCGTTCAATGATCTATTATTCGTAGGCAGTATTTATTATGACACGGAAATGTTGATCCAATGCTCAAAAAAATCGTTAAAAATTAAACGGCAATATTAAAGAAAACACCTTTTCGTGATAAAACAAGAATTCTGAAAACACTATTGAAGAATGACGAAAGATATAAATGCAAAAAATTAGTCAACTGTCAAGCTTATCCATTCCTCGCTTCTCAAATTTCTCTTTATTCCTCCTGTGAGAGCCGCTGATATAAGAAACAGAATATATTTAATATATGATGAAGATTATATGAATATTGGTTCGAATTCACATAATTCTATAACTTACACTTATTCTAGTGCCTATACCATTGTGCTAAACTTCAGGAGCACACGCAAGGGATGGGGCAGGGGGGAGGTTAGCAATACTCGACTGTCACGGTCACCTTTTCTTCAAAATTCGTTTTCTTTATAAGCTCACTAAATCTACAGCTATGATCATTTTATATGTGTGGATCTACCAGCGGTGTGTGTCTTACAGTTTAAGTTATATTGCGATTATGGAATGGGCTGACGATCACTCTCCTACGTTAGAAGAGGTGGAAAAGCAAATGAAGAATTTAGTGGGAACAGAAGTCATCAGTTTCCACAAAAAGAGCAGAGAATGTTGTTGAAAAAAACTGATACGAAAAAAAAAAACTTAATCCGAATAAAATCAGAAAATTAAATCCTATAAACGAAATTGCCATTTTCGTAAGAAAGAGAGGTTACCACTGCGAAACCACACGGATACTGGGCCTTTTCAAGTTGATGGAAAAAAAAAGAATCTAAAACGCTGGGCAAATTTAGAGCTCGACTGAAATTCCGTGTTGAGGCAAGAGAAAAGTTTTTCAAACAATACTTGCAATCGGCTAATAAAAATACGACTTATCTAGGTCCAAGAATACAGAAGGAGATCAAGTGCAAAGAAATTTTGTTATCAGAGGTTATCAGTTGACCGATAACCTCTGACATCAATGAGTATTCAACAGTGTTGCTCATGAGACAGCGCACATTTCACGGACTGAACACTTCTCAAGGTGTGTAAATCAAATCTTTTAGCTCACATTCTTCGTTGAAACTTAACTGGCCCAGAGACTCATTCAGTCTCTTCCGAACGTCGGCCTTCATATGAACAATATGAGATCCGACCGAGCTGATAATAACACGGCTGTGCAGCAAAAATAAACGACTTATGTGCATCATTCGTTGAATTTGTCTCATGCTTTGTGACGTTATCTTCAATCGTAAATTTCTTCAAAGCGAGAATCTGCTTCAGAAAGTAATACTGCGAAAACAGAAACTGAATCAAAAAGGAAGCAGCGATGAAATTTTGCGCAATAAGGTGGGTCGAAAACTTGGAGCCGCTTTCTTTTTTTGCTGAATTCTATGGTGTTCATAAAAATGCATTTATGAAAACTCCACAATTCATAGATAGCAAAATATCGAGCAAGGTTTTTGCATTCACACCAGCTTTTCGAACATGTACATCGTTAACCGAGTATTTCCACTATCTCACGGATTAGCTGCATGTCTACAGTCCAAACAATGCCGTCTGAAAAAAAAAACATTTATCCAGACAAATAAAACTCTTCCCGCGATCATTTATCGCCAAAATCCAGGAAGTGCAAAAAAAACAAAAATTTCAAGCTTGTCAGTAACACTGAATATCCCTCCCGAAAATTTTTTCTGCATACATGTGATTTTTGATCAAAGCAAGAATATTATACGATTGAACCAAGCTAAATCAATAATCAAATAAGACCTTTAAAAGTAGGCAAAAATTGAGCGAAATTGGACAAGAAAAGCAGTGTGATCAAACTGACTGTAATTCTTAACAATAAATTTGAGAACAATTGGTGAAATATTATTTAGTCAGTGTTTATCAAATATATCCTCGAATCAGTGCATATTTACGGAGCATTATGCACATATTTAAAGCAATACTAAAGCACAGAATTTAGAGGCTGCGACAACCATTCCAATAAAATTGATATAATCATCACAAATGCTCGTATTATATTGTTTTGTTGGTCAATAAATGCATTATCAAAAATTAATTCTATGAATAAATGTGACCACGTAAGCGTGTCCAGTTGTAGACCACAGTTTACCGATGACAAAAGTTTATGCTTAATAAATACTCTTTCAAAATGAACTTCGAAAATAATCGAACTTGATTGAAAGCGTTATGAAAAAATGAGAAACACATTTTATAATTTTCGAAAGATAATCTAATGGTAATAGTGCGCAATGTAAATGCTCAATTTTAAAGAATTACAAAAAAGTTGGAGTGAAACAATTTAAGATCTCTTTTTTTTTTTGAAAATATGGATTGCAATTCAATCGAGAAATGGATTGAAACAAAGAGACCATAAGGAACGAAGAAGAGTGTTGTGGTTTGCTGAAATGACATTTACTTGCAATACAGCAAATTGAATGAATTTTAATTTTGATATTCACTAAGGAAAAAACGAACTTTATTCATTTGTAAGATTGAAAAACATTTTTGAAAATGACATTCTCAAACAATAAATATTCCTCCGATAGCAAAAAAAAGAAAGCAACAAAATAAATAAATTTATATGATTACACTCGAGAAACTGAAACTCTTCGTTTGCGAATACGTGAATTGATTAATTTTGAAGTGAAGTTTTCCCAGTGAATAGTTTTCTTAATTACTAGCAAAAAAAATGAACAAGAAGAAAAGTGCAGACGTAAGATGAATACTGAGGGATGTATTTCACATTAAAATGGTAAGATGTTTCAAAAGTGAATTCATTTTAATTGAACGTTTTCTTTCAAAAATTGTTCAAATGATTACTCACTTTATCGTTGTTTCTTGTCACTTCCCATGAATAAATGAAATGGTTTGGACTTAGCAAGGAATCTTCAAATTCCGCTTTATACAAACGAATTTGTTTCTTATTCGAAATCAATATCAAATAAAAACATGATTAATAAAGCGAACTGTTGATGATTACTTTCAAATGAATTTTATACTCGAGAATTTTCAATTTTCATTCTCTTCAATTGGGAAATTTTATTACCATATGCCAAAGGCTTTTGGTGAATGTGTTAGTGATGATGATTTGTATGTGAATTTGGCTCGATATCAACCGATATGAAATCGATTCTTGATATGGTTTGTTCGAACACAACCTCTTATCTACTATAGTTGACTAGTCATTGTCGAATTCGTATCATTTTTCTCAGCGATATGAAAAGTTCAGGGAGCTGATTTGTTTTCGAATGCAAATTTATGATCAAGAATGTAAGCGTCGAAGTAAAATTCAAGCGCTGAAGTGTTTGACAGAGAGTATTTGCTAAATGCTAGCCTCCTCTTCAAACCTTTTTTTCGAAGGGGTAAGAAGTTTTGGTTACGCCGGTAAAAAGAAACCAAAGACTGCCCTCAAGTCATCCATTTCGCTTTCTCTATCTTTGCTTTCAGGGCAACTGAAAAAAATAATGAACAGTCGTTCTGAAATTAAAAATGATACGATTGATGAAACCAAAATTATTCCCCTGACTGGGAATACTTTTTAAGCAAGAAGGAGAAGAGAACTCTTACATGCTCTACAATGGAGTAATGTTCATTTTTAAAATTCAATTAAAAACGAAAATCTTCCACCTCAAAATGAAATGAACCAAAAATATCATGCTTATATTATCGGTTATATTCATAGCTTTGCTTCTGATTCAAATTCAACTTCAACGATACCAAATAATGTATCGGTAAGGAAAATTGTTGATGATGTTTGAAATACTGAAAGAATTAATTTTCGAAATGTTCCAAAAATTCTCCTTCGAAAATAATATTGCTAAACGACCAGGGTCCATTTACCGTTGGCCGTTTGCAATGCTCATTTAAAAAAACAACAAGCGTGATTCAATTCAATTAATTGCATCAACAAAAACCAGAAAACAACCTTTATGCGTCTCGGAGGCGACTGTTTTCTTTCAATTCATTTTCTTTTTTTTTTCCAAATCCGATTTCATACTACATCAAGAAATAAAATATGCATTTTCGAACCGAACCACAATAGGTGAAATGC